GTAGCTCCACAGCGCGCCTAAGCCGCCTCGCCAGCAACCGCAACCGCCGTCCACCGCCACTATCACGAGCGCGCGGACTCCCTTGGTCCCGCGCTGGAGCCGCAGCACCCCGCCACTGTCGCGCCCGCTGTGGCCGTTTCCACCACCGCCCCACTGTCATCCGCCTCCACGGCATCGCCTAGTCGGGGGGCGCCAGGTCCGCCCAGTGCGGAAGGGGCCTGCCCTCGCCAGCCATCGCATCGCAGCCTCACCTTCGAGTCGTCACCGCAGCACAACGTCGTCACCACCGAGCCCACGTTGCCGTGCCGCTCTGCCCTCGTGTTGCGCCGCTACCGCCTGCCATGTCCGCCTACGGTCGCTAGCTGCTGTGGCCGGGTCGCCACGGGCTGCTACGGGCCGGGCTAGGATCTGGCGTGGGTGCAGCCGGACGCCGCCTTGTCGTGTGGTCGTGCAGCTCGCCCTCACCACCGGCTGGTTGCCCGATGGTCGGAATCCGCAGCCGGTTCTGTTCCCCTCCTCTGCTCTATATCGAATGGAGAAGAAGAAAAGGTGAGAAGGTAAATAGAAACGATATAGGGTTCTTAGTGCAAAGTACGTGACTCACATGAACAATACAATACTAAATTGATCGAAACGCAGGGTCATTTTTGCTAAACCGCCAGGCCGGTTTGGGCAAGCCGCGCGTGGGCCGTCTTGCCTAGGCCGCGCGCTGGGTCGGCATATGGCCGCTCGCGCCGCGCGCTGGGCCAGCCTGTGGCCGCCACGGCTGGGCCACGCGCGCCCCTGGGCTGCCATGGCCAAGGGCCGACGAGTGGACGAGGAGCCGAGCAGAGGACTAGGAGATGGAGAGCGCGTGGCCAGGGATGGCTGGGCGGTGGAGGAGTTGAGCGGGCTGGGGGTCCGGCAGTGGAGGAGGATCAGCCAGGGCGCGCGGCGGTGAGCAGGCCAGGATGTGCGGTGGTGCCGTGGGCAGGATTATGGCCGGCGGTGAGTACGACCATGACTTGCGTAGCAGAACAGAGAGAAATGGGAAGAAACCATGTTTGTATGACATGTGGGTCCATAGTTAACGGTGTTAACAAATCTGCTATCAGACATCTTGTCTCTCCAACCAAACACGAAAACAGAACCACTCTGTCCTTTCAACCAAACAATATAATAGAGCCATTCCATCCCTAAAACAGGAATGGAACCGTTCCATTCTACCTCGCTCTCTAACCAAACGCACTCTAAGATCATGATCCTGCTCCTCCTCTGCCACTATCCACTATGGTTCCATACACGGTCGTCTCCCTTTTGTTAGTCTTTCTTTTTCTTCACGTGAGGAGCTAGCCGCTGATCTCTAGACTGTAGAGACAAGGGGTACCCTAGTATCATGGTTGAGCTATTGGAATACACATGTTAAATTAACAGGCGGCATGCAAGGTGCCCCACAAGATTGAAGTGAATTGAATCTCCCATCAATTATAGCCTGAGTCTAGGTTTTTTTTTTTCTGTTTTCATTTATTTCTCTGGTCCATAAAATGTAGACATTGGCCCCTCTAAGTGTAGGCACATTGCTATGTGTCACTGTTGAATTAAAACTTAGTTTAACAGGATCTTATCTTAGTCTAGACATGATCATTAACTCAATCTTATGTGGAAATTAGATTTTAGTGACTAACCATAGTTTGTAGATGTCATCTGAGTACCTCTATAGATATAGATGAAGTAGATATTAGTCTTCACCATATTAGGGATTGATGCTTTTGGTTTGTGAAGAACTTGATGTAGGTCTTGGAATAACTAAACGAATGTGGACAGACGACCGTCCAGACGTTTCAGTGCCTAATAGATCGGTTCGGGTGTTTCTCGGTGTGAAAACATCGAGGAACTCTTGGAAGCATCACCCCTTTATTTATATATGCGCTGCAGGCCTAGGGGCCCAACCTTAGAAAGCTTACAGATGTCGCCGGTCAAGGCAAAGGGTTCTATAATACAATAGACACTGTTTGGTACCTAATAATTATTGACAATTTATATGTTAGCAGAGAGATCACGTTCCAACAATCACCAGTCTTGAAGGTCATCTCATATAATACCACATGAGATTTTTAATAATGTGGGCTCGTAAGCAAATATTGGCGACTACGAGACAAGTGTTTCACAAAGTGTTTTTGTCACCTAAAGTGTCCTTACACTAATATGAGAAATTGTCCTGACAATAGTATGATGACTCAAAGCAAATAAAAAATGGGACCCACATATCACGCGTAGGACCCACAAGGCGGTGACATCTCCTCCTCTAGGGTTTCGTTCGGCTGGATGGATGGCTGGGGCTGGGCTGGCCAGCGCACTCACACCGGCACTGTTCACATGAACAGTGTTTTTAGACAGAACAGTATTTTTCTCTCACAACAATCAGCCGGAACAGTATTTTGACTTATTTTCCAGTCCTGCCGAACACAGCGTAGGTTTCTTCCCCATCCCCTAGGTCTCTGCTAGTAATCCGGCGGACAATCGTCAAGCGAGGCCCTTTCACCGTAGGCCATCGTCGATCCGCCGCCGGAGCACGTCGCTCACGGAAGACCACCGCCTCTGCTCTCTCCTTCAACTTCGGCACCAACCCGCGCGCACCACCGTCGCTGGTGAGCGCACCGACATGGTCACACGATGCTCCTCGGCTTGCCCTGCGTCGGCGGATGCCCGGAGCACCGGTAAGGACACCAGTAGGCAGATTCAGAGATTTAGAAATTGACCAACCAGGGTTTAGAGGCACGGTCATAGGCTGGTCTTTGTGAGCACACGTGGACGGCGTGCGCAGCTGGTAGGAGGAGGTTCCTACCAACCTCCCTGGAGCTCCAACTTCCAAACAGAACGTGGATCTGAATTCTGATGGTGCCAATGATCTTATCCAAGATTTCAGCACGACTGAAAAATTCACCAGTTAACGACTCAACCTAAGGATGCCTCTCGATGACAGCTGCCCGGTAGCCTGCAGTTGCTCATGCTATCCTCCTCGTCATTTTTTGCCCTTTATTAAATGGGAAATTTTGCTGTAGGACATCGCTAAAAAGCCTAATATGCTGATGAATACCGCCAAGAGCGAAATTTGCCCAGTACCATTATAAAATCACGTCCATTTGCTGAAACACAACGCACCAAATATTTTATTCATTTATCAGATTTGTGGAGAGAGAAGGTGAGGAAAATGACTCTTCTGCCCTCTTCTTCAACCTCCAGCTATTCACTAATTTTTGTCCAAACACACTGCTGCCTTCTCATCGTCGTCAGCGCTGATCCTCACATGAGTCGTGAATAGGTCCTTCCTCCTCACTCCATGGCCATGGAAGCCATGGAGGAGCCTCTGTTGGTCACACGCGTAGGTAGGAGGGGGCCCGGCTGGGGCTCTCCAGCCAGCCGGCTGGCAGCGAGGCAAGGCGGAGTGGCGGCGCTAGGTTGCGCACGGCTTGTGGGGCCACGCGGGCTCCTTGGCAGGATGGCGGCGGGGTTTGGCCGGCGGCAGCGAGTGCTGGAGGGCCTCGGCCGGAGGAGGGAGTAGCAGCCGGCCAGCCTCCTGAGGGTGGCGCACGGCCGCTGGGAGTGCTCGCGGCGCCAGGCCACGGCTTCGGGATGGCAACAGGGATGGTATGGAAGGGAGAGACAGGTGGCTTAACGGGGGATGAGGAAAGGCCAGAGCAGGAGAGGACATCGATGCCGTCCATGGAGTCCTCGCCGGAATTTTGGAAATAGACGGTGCAGCGGCAGCGTTTGGAGATGGGGAACGAAACGTGATTCGCGGAGAAGGAAACTGCTACGGGGGAAGGAAGCGGAGAAGGATGCCGAAGGCAGCGGGCTGGGCCTAGCGGCGGAACCGGTCGAGGTGCTGGTGCCGGAGTCCAGTGACGACAAAGCCACGAGTGAGCAGAGCGCCGCCCAAGCCACGCCGAAGTTGTCGCGGGCAGGTCCTAGCCATCGAACGGAGGCGAACAGGTGGATTTGACAAATGAACAGATTCACGACGTAGAGAGGATTGAGATGAACCTTCTGGTGGAGACAGAATTCTAGGAACGCGATGAACTCGCCGGCGAGATGGAGGCGCTGTCGCTGAACATGAGACTGTGTGTTACGGCAAAAAAAATCAGTGACCAGCCCAAGGTTGAAGACGAGGGCAGAAGAGTCATTTTCCCCACCTTCTCTCTCCGCAAATCTGATAAATAAATAAAATATTCGGTGCGGTGTGTTTAAGCAAATGGACGCGATTTTGTAATGGTACTGGGCAAATTTCGCTCTTGGCGGTGTCCATCAGCATATTAGGCTTCTTAGCGATGTCCTGCAGCAAAATTTCCCTTATTAAATCTGAATATGCAACATGCTACTTTTATTAGCGACGTTCCTGGGACTTTCTTTTTCCCCTCGCTTTGCTCCTGCCAATATAATTCGGTAGCCATCCTGTTAGCTCAAAAAACAAAGGCGATTAGGATTAGGTGAAGTTGCTATTCAAGAACAAGTTGCAGCCTGTGATCTCTGAAAGGAAGGAAAAAAAAAGAATCAGCAGATCCTTCAGATGATACCACACGATCGATGCAGACAACCTGTACCTTCTGTGTTCCACAATGACATTGACATGAGAAGCTCACAAGCAAGCTTCAGAGCTTTAACTAAGAGTAGGAAAAAAAATGTATACTTACGAAGACCTCGCGAGTCTTTGTCTCTTTGATAAAGCATGCATTCAGTACAGACCCCTAGACTGTCTGAAACTTCTCGAGAAGGTCAAGCTTGTCGTATTCACACGACTCGACCTGCCTGAGTGCCTGCCGCCTCTGCGAGGGGGGCTGGGGGAGTGTAAACACGAAGCTGCCATGTTGGCGCACTCCAGCGTGCACCGTTGACCTGATCGATCATTGGAGTCAACTGATACACAGGCGCTTCTGTTCAGTGATGTTTAATGATAGGCATTATCATGCGTTTGAATGAACTCTCCTCGGACCCTCACTCGCACGAATCGTAAAGCCACTTCGATGGCGTTTATATACAGGTGCGCGCGCCCTGCTCGGCTGCTCGTGGGCACACCGCACACCACTGGCATAGCATCAGCCTTTGCCTCGGATCGTGTCTGCGTCCAAGAGTCTCGTCCTCCTACTCCAGCTGATCGATCTCGGCAACCAATGGCAGCCATCATGGCGCCGCCGCCGCCGGCGCTCAAGTACGAGGCGTGCCACAACCCGCATCAAGGGCTGGTGTCGGAGAGCGCGCTGCGCATCATCGTGGAGACGAAGGCGTGCTTCGTGGCGCTGGCGCTGGCGCTGGCGCTGGCGCTGGCCTACTTCCTGACGGCGTCGCAGCACCGGCTGTGGAGCTCCAGCCACCTCATCAAGGGCTTCCTCTTCGCCGTGACGCAGCCCGTGACGCGGTTCCTGCTCGGCATGTTCACCATGCTGCTCTCCATGCCCTTTCGGAACGACCTCTACCTGCTCTGGGGCATCCTCCTCCTCGCCGGCTACGAGGGCGTCTACACCATCTCCGGCTACGGCGTCTCCGCGCGCCGCTCCGACCTCGCCGTCCACGAGTTCGCGCGCGCCTACAACATCGTCACGCTCGGCCTCTACGTGCGCTACTACTCGAGCGCCTCCCAGTTCCGGTGCCCGCTCTGGGTGCTCTGGGCGCTGATGGTCGCCAAGTTCCTGGAGCGCATCGTCCGGTTCAAGGTCGCCAACGGCAGGTATGGCGACGCCAGCACCAGCTTCGTCGCTGACTACATGAAGCACGAGCACAAGATCGAAAAAACATCCTCAGAGTCAACGGGTGACCAGGACTTGTGCTTGAAAAATTGCAACTACCTCATCGTCGGCGACTCCGAGGCGAAGGCCGAAAGGGTGGAGAGGCAGTACGAGGCTCAGTACAAGCCGGCGGAGGACACCGTCACCATCGCCAAGGTCTGGGGGTGCGATGGGAAGCTCCTGAAATCGAAGACACACGGCAAAGAGCTGAGAGACGTCTGCCTCTCCTTCGCGCTGTGCAAGCTCCTACGGAGGAAGTTCGCCGGCGTCGCGACGGCCGAGAGCGAGAGGTCGAAGGCGCAGCTGCTGGTCTTCGACGACCTCATCAGCTCCGGCCGGGGCCGGACGTTCCGGGTGGTGAGGACGGAGCTGGGCTTCGCGAGGGACTTGCTCTACACCAAGTACCCCATCCTGTTCAGCTCCGGCTTCCCGGTCGTCAGCACGGCGCTGTTCGTGGTGACGGTCGGCGTGTCCGTGTGGATCACCGTGTCGGCGGTCCGGCACTTACCGGGTGCCCCACGGGAGCTCGTCCAACCTCGTCCGTGGCAAGAACGTGGACCTGCTCATCACCTTCGTCATCGTGGGCATGGTCACCGGGATGGAGATCTGCGAGTTCTTCATCCACCTCTTCTCCGACTGGACTAAGGTACGTACGCACGTGGCGTGACTACATGGGACCAACTTTGTAGCGAAGTTATGTTCTCAGACACTATGGCAGTTGTTTCAATCACACGTAGTATGGTCCTAGTACGAGTGTACTACGTTTCTCTTTGGCATTCACAAAGAGAGACAGAGACTTGAAGGATTCCTGACTTAACTGTCCTACACTAGTACAGAGGTATAAAGACAGCCTCAACCAAATCATAATGAGTTCGATCCAATTCATTTAAACAATATGAATATTTGTAATACCCAATCATTGTTACTAGATTGATGGTGAGATATATTTTTATAGTATACCTATTTTACGTTGTAAATATTGATACTCTTTTATATAAATTTAATTAACGATAAAGTTAAAATTACTATCTCAGTTCTAAAATAACTGCACATCTTATTTTTCAAGAAGCCAAGATTTTAAAGTTCGACCAAATATATAAGCAAAAAATATACTAATGTTTATGATATGTATTAAGTATCATTAGATTAATATTGAAATATATTTTCATAATAAACATATTAGGATATGCAAATATTGATAAATCTTGTCAAAATTTAAAAAATACTCCTCAGAAAATGAGATGTACAATTATTTTATGATGTAGGACAGAGGAATTACATCCATTTCGAAGCCCATTTGACACATCTTCTTCGGTAGTTTCACGAGCTGTTTGAAGTTATTTTGTGTCTTATGAGTATTTTTCTTCAAATAGTTTTACATGTAAAGCTCTTTATAAAATATATGCTCTCACAAGGGATTATTGTGGGATGGAGATGAAAATAGCTTCTTCTCCTAGTTTCAAGTCGCTCTAGTAGATCCCTGTATGGGATTTGTTAGAGTTGGTTTGTCGTAGCTCCATTGGCAGAGCTCTCCATTGGCAAAGCTGATGTAAAGAAAAAAAAAATCTGCTCCACTAGTGAAGTTGGGTTGTGGGTCTAAGTTTGATTTGGGAGGCTAACCCTTACGCAATTTGTCCTCCAATCATCCCATCACGGCACACCCTGCTCCCTGTTCTTATCACATCTGGAATAGTGGAATTGAGACCCTTCAATAATTGATGGTCCCCCTGCTTTGCCTTTCAGGTTATGGTGGTCACCGAATACGTCCGGAAACCGTGGCTGCGAAACTTCCCTTTCCTCAACTCCGTACTGAAGTTCATCTGCTGCGGCAAGATCGCCGAGCCCATCGGCAGCTCTCTCGGACAGTTCGATCTTCTCAAGGCGCCCAAGAAGGGGAAACGTCTCCCGGAGTGCATCGTGAATCTGTACCACACGGCGAGGTCCTTCGTCCTGCTCACCGGCGACGAGGACTTCCGCATCAACAAGTGCAAGACTCTCCGGGCGGTCCCCGTGGACATAGAGGAGATGATATGCAGCACCCTCGCGAACAACAAGGACGGTTTGGTCCGCGGCGACGAGTCCCTGAAGAGGAGGACCGAGCTGGAAGGCGACGTGCTGCTTGCAAGGCACTGCAAAGCTCAGACGCACATCGAGAGAATCATGGTGTGGCACGTCGCGACCAGCACGCTGGAGCTGAAAGACGGCGGCCGGCAGCCGCGCGTTGGAGGATCGAACAAACGCTTGTTGGATTTGGAGGACGGCCGCCGGAGTCGGAAAGGATCAGGATCAAGCCGTGTGGACTACAGGCTCGTGGCCACCACGCTGTCCAAGTACTGCGCCTACCTGGTGTTCTACAAGCCGAAGCTGCTCCCAGTCGCGAGCAACTCCGTGCGGTACATGTGCAACGTCCTCCTCGACGAAGCGAAAGCGATCGGCGGGAAAGAAGCTGCCAACGCCGGCCGCGGCGGCGAGGAGGCGGCGGCCAACGGGAAGGAGGGACCGACACATGACAGCCAAGAAGAGGTCAGCATAGTCTTGAGAGGCCGGAAGCTCGCCAGTGGTCTGGAGAGCGTGCTGGCGCATGGCGGCGGCGACGGCGACGGCGATGAAGGCCTGTGGGAGGCGCTGGCCGAGCTGTGGTGCGAGCTGATTGTGTCGATGGCGCCGCACGGCAGCATAGTCGCGCACCAGAAGGAGCTCGGCAAGGGCGGCGAGTTCATCACGCACCTCTGGGCGCTCCTCTACCACGCGAGCATTGACGACAAGTTCTCGGGCTCGTCCGCCGTCGCCGCCGCCGCTGCCGATGCTCCGCTAGCAGAGACGACAACTACGTCCGGAACTGTCCCTGCTAGCTCCGCGTGACCGCGTGCCGGTTTGTGTGTTGCTGTGTACGAGTTGTTGTTGTTTTTTTAAAAAAAACACGTAAATGGCCGTGCGTTACAACGGGACCCATAATACCACGATAATATATGTATAAGCGTATTTTATACTGTTATCTAAAATAGATACCGCAATCATAATGTTGCAATCAATATTACACTTATGTACGAGCAAATTTTTTGAGCTCATTTATTTGAACAAGAACATATGTCGTGCTGTTTGGGTAATTTGCAGTGAGTTTGTTTGGTTTTAGTCCATCCATTTTGGTTGAAATTTTTAACTTTTTGCACTGCCTGATGTTCGCCAATTCAGTTCTCATCCTGCCATGCAAACCACATTTCATTTCTTTTGCCCACAAAATTTGCTCGTACACAAGTGTAATATTGATTGGAACATTATGATTGTGGTATCTATTTTAGATAACAGTATAACACATGCTCATACATATGTTATCGTGGTATTATATGTTCTCGTTGCAACGCACGGACATTTACCTATGAAAATATGAATATTCCTTCAATCTTAAAGCTTGTAACATAGAAAACCATATATGAAAATATAAATATTTCTTCAGTCTTAAAGCTTGTAATAAAGTAGAGATTTGTTAGACATTATTTGGAAACAGAATCTGTACAAGAGAAAACTTACTCGATTAATTTAGGCTTCAACTTTTTTCTGTCAAATGGGATTATTTTTATGCACCAGTTTTGCAAAAAAAATTCAGTTTACGAGCCTTAACTCCTGCAAAGAAAACCAATAAACTGATGGTTATTCAGTTTAGATGTGCTTGCGAACACCATGTGCTTGCGAACACCATGGGCTACAGGAAATAATACTTATAATTGTTTTTGGTGATATAAACTATAAAGAGAAATTTACGCTTCCATTAATAAAATGTGTCACTGATACTGAAAAATCAATGTTGGTTGGAAACATCGTCATCAAATTTCAAGTAGCAGTCCCTTTTCAGTATTCTCAAACAGGAGCTAATATTACACTCTTCTTGCAATTAACATAAATGTTGCAACCAAGTATTCAGAAACCAACTACTTCCACTGCCAGCATGGACTAACTTACAGTTACAGAATGTTTTATCTGGTATAAGCTTAGTAATCAGGGGAGAAGTACATAATTATTTATTTCTGGAAGAAACGGTAATGACTATACCTATTTCTTGTTCCTGATGATCTGGGTGACACATCAAGCGGAGATGATCTGCATACAGTTATAGGTAATCTGATCCTCCTTGTTGCTGAAGAAACTGAGTTTGAGCCCAGCGAAACAGCTGGATATCGTCCATCATAATTTGTATCCATACTGACAGGTGAAGCGCAATCTTGAGAGCCTTGGGATCTTTGAATGTGACATAGGCAGTCCTCCCCGACGCCACTGTATCGTTTACAACCACCAACCAGAGGCCAAAATCACAATGCAGTTCAAAATCCAAATCGAAAAGGGGGAAAAAGCACAACTAAAACATAAAAAAAGAGAGGCAGAACAAATAGAGAAAGAAATCAAGAGGCGCTCACAATCTGATTCGACATGCTTGATTTGGCCGGAAAAGGAGAAGAACTCACGCACCTCCTGCTCAGTCGCCAGATCTGAGATGTTCCGCACCCGCACCGTCATTCTTGAAGAGGAAATTGCAATTGACATCAGAATTGCTTTACTCTATCACCGAAGTTCCTGAAGCAGACTTCTACAAAAGCGATGATTTCTTCTCTGCAAAACATGGTAGAAGCAACTTTCAGGTCAAAATATGTGCGCTTTTTTTGTGGTGCTGAAGGAGGCTTCTCGCTCAGCACTTACATGAATCTGGGGCTGAGAAATCCACCGTATTCATTCTGAATGACCTGAGGAAGATCGAAATGATAGATGGTGGCATGAGGCTGAATCCCTACAGACATGACAAGAAGAATGGAGCCAGTTTGTTCAAGTATAAAAGGACAGCAAGTCGATTTTTTTTAGGGAAAAATTAAGAAGCTATGACAAGTCAATAATGCTTGGAGTCACGGGTCAGTACTTCAATCTTACGACAAAGTAACAGTTGCATCGCCTTACCATGCAGTATCAGTGCATCTATGAGATTGTTGTAGTATTCCAAGCCTTTTGGGTTGATCTTTCCTCTTCCATCTACACAAGGAAATCACAATTTTTTAGGAATATATACATTCAGATGCAGAATTATTTTTTTTGTAAAAAAGGAAAAACTTGCTACTGTAATTTTACCTACCTGGAATGAGCCTTGGCCAAGCAATGGAGAATATGTAAGCATCTAAACCCATCTTATGCATAAGCTTCACATATTCCTGACAAGAAAATATTTTTGATACTTGCCTTTTAAGATTATGCTGGTACTCCCTCAGACCTTGTAATGGTGATACTACCTACTGTAATCATGTGGAACGATGCACCCTCATGAGTGAAGTGTCTCAGTAATATATGTTTTACACCGCTATTGGACTAGCATTCTGGACTTTTTTTGTTAATACACGGTAACTAATTTTCTATCAGACTACCATCTTTTATTGTATCTAGTAATAATTTGACATTCATATTGGTAAAAGAGAAGCAATCTACAGTGACATGGACAACAAACATCTGACCTGATCAACCTTGACCCCCGCAATCCTGCTCCTTCAGTAATCATGGTGTGAAGTTGCATTCCAAAAAAAATTTGCATGGTGCACAAATATAATATTGAGACTAGATTTACACACCAAATCAACCATTAAATAAGGGGGGGGGGGGATCTGACCTGGCATATGATCGAGAGGTCTGCTCTTGATGCGGTTAGAGTAAAGGGGCTACACCAGACAATCACTATCCTCTAATTAACATATTATTGCCCCCAAGTCCGCTTTGTAAGCATTCTATCAAACACCTTGCAGGCTATATAGCCTTGGTGCATGCACTTCACCAAAATAGAGAGCATCAGGACTGTAATCACAATGAGCGATGGTCCGCTACATCAGGCGGGCAGAAGAGAGACGGGGAAGAGGCGCAAAAACCAAAAGAGAAGGTGGGCATGGGCCATGTGGTGAGCTTACCAATGAAAGTGTACATCTGGCGGCGGCGTGCGGATGAGCCGTGCACGCCCCCATGGCGAGCAGGGCTGGGCAGACTCTCTGTCGCGTCTGGTAGTGCTACGGTGTCAGCCTGGTGGCGTGCTCGGCGAGAGGGTCGGCGGGGCTGAAGCAAGCTTTGGAGGCGCGGACGGAGAGAGGACCTCGACGACGGCTGCTGGACGCGTGGAGCCTGGCAGGCCTAGGTGCTCGCGGTCAGGGGAGGCGGCCTGGCCTGGCGCCCTGGCCTCTACACACACGCAAGCACAAATCCAAGTCGCCTTAAACTCGAACCCTGACGAATCGAGTTGGTGTTGGGGAACAGGAAAGGATGGGGCACGGTTGTTACCGGTGTGTCGAAGGAGACCACTCATCGTTGGGGGCGGCGGCGGGAGATGGAGGCAAGCAGAGGGCGAGCAAGATGGCTACGGGGCAACGACGGCTGCTTGGCCGGCCCAGTAGCAGCGGCCTCCGCACGCCCCACACGCTCGCGCTATGTTGGGAGGTGGGCTGACGGCGCCGGGAGACGGGCCAGCGCAATGGCTATGCGGCGCAGGCAGGATGCGTCGGCGAGGCGTGCGCGGAGGGAGGAGGCGGCCGGGTCGGCGGGATCAACGGGTGCTCGCGCGGCGTTTCCTTTTTGTTTTATTGGTGCGAGCGAGCACGCGCCGGGGGAAGCGAGCGAGCGAGCGAGGCATCGCACGCCTGGTCGACGATTCCCTTACAAATGTTTTAGTTGTAGAGATAAATAAATAAATTTAGGAACGTGTACGAGATGTTGCGGCTTTGGGCTCAAAGTTATATGGGCTGGTAGCTGGACAATGTGTTTGTTTGTATGCGGTACGCGAGTTGGGCTTCAGCCTAGTCCCCGACTTCGTCCTTGTACGCTTAACGCGGATCCCCCGACTTGGTCCTTGCACTCCAGTTCAGCCGGGCCGTAAGAACCGAAGCCATTAGCCGATAGCTTAATAATCCTCAAGGAGACCTTTATATAGCACAATACAATTATACGTACAATACAACCGTCTCCAGGTCCAGGGATTTAAGTCGGTGCCAGCACAACGTGGAAACAACGGCGATACGTCCAACTCTTCCTCGTTCCTTTCAATCGAAGCATCTGCCCTGTTAGAGCAAGTATTATAATCGACTGCAAGCCGACGGAGAGGAGTCCACGCCATCAAAAAAACAGCCACGGAGGAGAGAGATCACGGAGCGAGCGTTATTCTCTTCGCCCGGTTGTAGCGCAGCGTACGAGAAAAAAACGCCGTCTTCCAGCCTGATGCGAGCGAGAAGCCGGCTGTAGCTTGTTTGCACATTTGAGCAATAAATGATTACAATCTGAGCAGCAGCCAGCCAAAGAGCTCATCTACTATATGAGTTGGCTATATAGCTGGCTGTATATGACATGGCAGTGGCATACCGCCCGCTGCTAGCTGGGTTATTAACCATGCTCTTATATATACCAGTTTCATATATCCCACAGCCTGTTCGCTTGTTCGTAAACGATCGTAAATTTCCAGCCAGGAACAGTGTTCTTCTCTCACATTAAACTAGCCAACAGTAAATAATCCACGATACGATATGGCCTCCCGAACAGGCTGACCTCACCTCGTAAACATTCTTCATTCCTTTCCATAAAATCATTCTTCGGAGCAACTCGATCGACATGGAAGGTGCCGACCAGGTGAGGTCTACCATATTCGACATGCGATTCTTTTTGGTTTCCAGATATATAAATTCCTTTGAAAGATGTTCTGTGTTGGACTAGCTAGCTCGCAGTTGATCATGAACAGAAACAGACTGATCATTTGGTGCGTATGTATTTTGCTGCTTTGGTGGGTGCAGAGCAATCCTTGCGCGATATGCCTCGGCAACATGGGCGCCGGCGGCGGGCAGGCCATCTTCACGGCCGAGTGCTCCCACACGTTCCACTTCCACTGCATCTCTGCGAGCGTCGCGCACGGTAACCTCGTCTGCCCGCTCTGCAACGCGCGGTGGCGCGAGCTGCCGTCCGTGGTGCAGCCGCAGCCGGCGCCGGTGCCGCGCACGCTGCCACGCCCGGAGCCCATGCACCGTGTACAGCCACTGCCTATGAGGCATATGCCGCTGCATGGCTGGCAGCCACAACACCAGCCCGATGAGCCTCAAGTGTTCGACGACGACGAGCTGGTGGAGCCGCCCTCCTCAGGCGACGGCGGCGGCGACCAGCTACAGGACGCGGCAGAGTCATCCAGATCCGGTGGGACGCTGGCTGTCACGACTTACACCGAGTACTCCGCCGTCGCGAGGGACTCGTCGCGCAACAACTTCGCCGTCCTCGTGCACGTCAAGGCTCCCGGGATGACGACCGACGGCGAAGCGGCGGCCGGAGACGCGCCACGCGCGCCTATCGACCTCGTGACAGTGCTCGACGTGAGTGGTAGCATGACCGGTGCGAAGCTGGCGCTCCTGAAGCAGGCCATGGGGTTCGTCATCGACAACCTCGGGCCCCACGACCGCCTCAGCGTCGTGCCCTTCTCCGACGGGGCGCGCCGCGTCACCAGGCTGCTCCGGATGTCGGACACCGGGAAGGCCGCGGCCAAGAGCGCCGTGGAATCCCTCGTCGCGCGCGGCGGCACCAACGTTGCCGAGGGGCTCCGGACGGCGGCCAGGGTGCTCGAGGAGCGCCGGCACAGGAACACCGTGTCCAGCGTCATACTCCTCTCCGACGGCCAGGACACCTACACCGCGCCGCGGTGGTCGCGGGGCGCCGGCGCCGCGCCCAACTACGAGGCGCTCGTGCCGCCGTACTTCATGACCACCGGCACCAGGGACTGGTCGGCGCCGGTTCACACGTTTGGGTTCGGCAACGACCACGACGCGGCGGCCATGCACGTCATCGCTGAGGCCACCGACGGCACCTTCTCGTACATCGGGAACGAGGCCGTCATTCAGGACGCGTTCGCGCAGTGCATCGGTGGCCTGCTCACCGTCGTGGTGCAGGAGGCGCGCGTCGCCATAGCCTACGGGCACCCCGGAGTCCGCATCGGCTCGATTAAGTCAGGGCGCTACGAGAGCCGCGTCGGCGAGCTCTACGCGGACGAGGAGCGGCGCTTCCTGCTGTTCTTGTTGACAGGATTTCTGGAACCTCCGGTTGCAGATCGGTGGGTGAATTGCTTAACTTAGATAGGCTTGGTGATATATCTCGCCATATACAGTCGCTGCCATGGCGCCGCCGTCACGGAGGCCGCGATGTGTCGGAGTAGGAGAAGCCATGCAGACGCCCGCTAGGTCGTCGACTATAGCAGCAGCGTAGGCGTGGACCAGTGGCGGCGGCGAAGGCGATGGGGCTTCCCGTTGCTCACAGCGCCCCTCTCGATCGATCTAGAGTTAGGAACCTCGGGGTGGGGCTAGCGGTTATCGGTGACCTCAGGTCTTGTGCCCCAGTGTAACATCTCTAGTGTTACGAACTCGCTTAGCACAGATATTACACCCTGATAAATAGATCTATAAGTATAATGAGTTAGTTTAATCAAATGCGATAACGAAAAACCTAATCCCTAGTTATATGGATAAGGTAATAGTTGACTTAAAAAGTGATTTTTTTATAAAGCAATAATAATATAGAACGTGTGTTTAGAATTTTAATAAAAGTTGAAGTACAAGTCAAGTAGATGAAAATGCAACTTGGGTTTTAGAAAACAAATGTTGTTGACTAGGGTTTTTGCTAGCTCAAAAATCAAATCGGAAATTAAAACTAGTCCTTTTCATTGAATCGACAGAAATTTGTAGTTGTGTTTGAAGTACACTTTTTGGCGATTTTTAAATGCAAAATAGTTAAATAATGCCCTGATGTTTTGGTTCTATTATTGGTATAAAGTGTGTGTTATGTCGTAAAATGGTTGTCGGTGAAGTTTGGTAAAGTTTTGACCGTTTAAAAATTCAGCCAAAAGTGCTTAGGAACATTAGTTCTAACTGAAACCTCGAATTCTTTTAAGTATGAAACGATAGTAGGCAATGCCATTTTGGTGTTTGATTTCCAGCGAAAATGGTTAAGCACTACATCTATGTTTTCGCACGATCGCTTGCAATTAGGTGTATACTAGGACGCGGTGCAGGTCGTGGTTACGTTAGAAGTTACGATGCTCACGCAAAAATTGATCGAAATTCGCTAGAACGCATTGAACCGTGTCGTTGGCACTCTATTCGTGAATCGGCATCTGTAGCGAGCGATCTCAGCTGCTCACCTCAACTACCTCGCCCCGCTTGCTCTCAGCCGTTCATCCCACCTACCGAGCTGCTATCCTCGCCTCTGCTCTCTCTCACTCTCTCGGTCTTTGCCTCTGTCTGCCTCTGCTTGTCGCTGCCGATGTCGACATGTCCCACGCCGTGCGTGCCCGCGCCTGGATGTACTTTTGGGACAACACCGATGCTCCCTGCTCCTTGCTGCCTCACGCAAGTCCCCGCCGTGGCTGCGCCCACCGTCGCCCGGCCCTTCGCGTGTGCGCGCGAGCCCCCACGGTCGCGCTGGACCGTCTTCCCCTGCCAGTGCCGCTCCTTCTACGCTCCTTCCCCGGCCCCGCTACTCCCCACAGCGATGCAGCCGCAGTTGACGCCGCCGGCGCACGCCGCCTGGCCACCTTAGCCATCGCCAGGCCATGGCCGCCACCGCCCCGGCCCGCGCCCTCCTCCTCGCGTACGCGTGCCGCCGCTACGTAGCCACCCGCGCCAGGAGCGTCGTTGCCTCCGTTTGCCTGGTCGGCGCCGCCGCAGCCGGCTTACCCGCCACCACGGCTCGCGCGGGCAAGCTGCCGGGGGCCGGCTCAGGTCTTGCCGCGGTCGTGCCCTCCCCGACCAAGATTGACTGCTGGGCGGTGCTCCTCTGCTTCACCAGACAAGGTGAGAAAGTGTAAATAGAGATAAAAGTAAGGGCCTTGGTGCAATAGTATTGCCTCAAATGAATAGTAGAAACAGTGGCATACTAAATAGATAGAAGCATGGGGATGTTTTTGCAAAACCATCACCGCGCCTTGGGCTTGCCCAGCTGGGCCGGCCTACCGCCGCTGCGCCTGGGCCGCTCACGCCCGCGCCCGCTTGGGCCGGCCTTGTGCCGCCTGCGCCTGGGCCACGTGTGTGCGCTGGGCGCCTGGGCCGCCGGCCTCCAATGGGCCGCACGCGCGCCTAGCCACTCAGGCCTTTTTTTTGTGTTGTTTTTGTTTTGTTAATTCAGTGCTCTTCAAAAATTGATAATAAAATATAAAAAAATCACAAAAATGCCAAACTAATTTTGTTAGGCTCCTAAAATCATGATCTATCTGATAGTGTATTTTGTTCATATAGGTTTTGTATGTTTTTAGGGTGCTCTAATTATTAACATGCTTAATATTGTTAAGACAAAAACTTGTAGGAATTTCCATGATAAATCGGTGATAGTGTTGACTCTAAAAATTTTACAGTAAATTATTAATATTATTAGCTGCTCACTGTAATTTTTTAGCTCCAGAGTAATTAATTTGCTAGATAGATAATGATGCCCTATTTCGAATAAAGATTAAATCGATAGAATGGGATAAAGAAACACCTTGGAATTTTATAACTAAAAACACTTGTTGAGAAATAACATCTTTCTCGATGATGTTGATACATAGTCATTAGCGCTAGCTTGTTAGTTCCTAGTATGTACCCTATGTTAAGAGTTGTTATTGCCTTGTTATTTAACTGTTGCATCAATTCTACATCGCATTGCATACCATAATAGGGACGATGATGGATCGTGGAATCAACTGGAGTAGTGGAATAGATGGCACCAGGGATTAGGACACAAAGATGGAATACTAACTTTTGGTTATATGTTACCTAGGCAAGCCCCGGTGCATAACCCCTATTTTTCTACACTTTAAATTATATTTATGCATTAAGCTTTAAGGAGTTGATTGCAACCCACTTGCATATATATATATATATATATATATATCCTATGAGTCTTACTAGTATGACAAGATCATGTAGATTGCTATGCTACAGGACTCCAGTAGAAGTCGAGTGATTGCCTGTCACTCACGAGAGATAGGAAATATATTATTGTTGCTACAATATTATTATCACCTAGAATATATATGGATGATAATTGGAGACCGGGCGGAATGGTACTTTGGATCTTGATTTGGTTTGGAAGACGAGTACTCCTGGTAGGCATTAGATTAGGTGGTTCTGCCACAGATGGTATCAGAGCATAAATAAGGAAATAAAACTTCAGAACCTCTTTCTAAATAAAATTTGACAACAATTTCTTTTCAAAAGAATAGGACGTTTGTATGCGAAGTTATATAAGTAGCCCTATTACTATGGTTATGTATCCAGGTAGATGGCACTCTGCTGGCTTAGGTAGGCTTAATCAAGTTTTCTACAGGTACACTGACCCGAGCATAGTCCGATAGTATCGACTAGCTACAGGGAGAGAACGATGTGCCAAAAATCTAAGAACGGTTGCCATATATGTCGGCAATAGTTGAAGGACGTATAGGACGTGCATTCATGCATATCCTATTTGTGCATTGTAGCTCTTATATTGCTTGCAGACACGCCATCCATAGGTGTCATGCGTGTCATATTATGCACGATGGACCCATCCTTGTTTCGGAGTTATTTATGCACTGTGGCTTCGTGCTCCGCGTTCGCCTGTGGTTCACGCCTGCTATGACCCTCGCCTTCCCATACTCTTTTCTGTGCTCTTGTTGGACCCTTGCCCTGCAGTCATAGTAGTCATTAATGGCCTTGGACATCGCTCACCTTGAATTCACGGAAAATTTGGTTGATTCATTCGTAGTGATCCCACGCAGGAACCCTGGTGGACTGCTTCAGGACCACTGACCGCTCTGCCTTTATAAGAAGGGTCTGGCTTAGCCCTTGATACCACCACTCGATGCACTTTAGCTCGTCTAGCTTTTCCCTTGAGCAAGCTTTTCGCTCAGTCCTTCCTTGCAACCGCTGCTAGGGATGGCAGGAGCCTAGGTTAGTAGTTACTGTCTGAACGTTGAGGGTTTTCCTAGAATCCTACATGCCACCCTGCAAAAGCTCAGAGTCAAAGATCATCAAAAGTATGAGGGCCGTGAGTATGAAAAGCATGGCACTGAGTGGTGTGAGGTTACCGTCTACATTGGGAAGAGTGAAGAGTTCCCCGACATCACTGAAGCCTGGAATGTGACAACAATCGAGTTTTGCTTTGCTGACACCTACCAGGTTGTGGCCCGCAAAGCCTTATGGTATCTTTGCCAGATCTTTGAAGAGCCCATTGCTCGTACCCCCATGAGGTGCTTTCCACCTTTGGAAAAAAATCGACGGGCATGGAGGGCTCGCATGGAGGCTTTGCAAGGGTGGGATGCGCATGAAGATAGTCCTACCATGGTGCACTTAACCACGTACCTACTTGCTCTAGATGAGCAGTATGACCGGCAAGCCTCAGAGCTGAGGAATTGCCTCCGTCGAGCCGAGGAAGCCGAGATCTTCTCCAGGATACTCCAAGTGCAGCTTGCCGAAGCGCATGCCAGTGCGGCAGCTGCAGAGAGTCAGGAGACTGCCATGTCGGAAGCTTTGAAGGAGGCTAAAGATCGATATGCCCATCAGTTGGGAGAGGCCTACCTGGTCACCAGGGCCAAGTGGAGGTCGCTGGCTGCCAAACGGTAGGATCCCTTGATCGTGGATGGGATCCCTGTCCACCCGCTAGAAAGGAGAACTGGTGTTGCAGTACCTCTAGCACCTCCACCCTCAGAAGTGTTAGAAGTAGAACCCTTGATTCCTCTTACTCAGCCTTTGCCAAGAGAGGTGGCAGATCCATAGCCAGGACGGTAGAAGAATCCGCTGAGCCCGGGAATGAAGATGCGTGGTCTAGAGTAGATTAGTTGCCTTGGGGTGTTGTACCCACAGTTAGTAGTGTCTTTCATCGCTGTCCACTAGTATTGTACTCTTGTCGTTGTTTTTCGTCCGTAGTTGTTGAGATCGTCCGACCATAGGGAATGATGTGTCGAAAATGGGAGAGTGAGTGTCTGTATGTTGCACCAGCCTAATGATGTTTGGAATATGCATTTTATTTATTTTACTATGTTTATTGCGTCCATCTACCCTTAAGTCTTGTTAGATGTGTTTAGGGTTTTCAAGGGCGATGTTACGTGGGTTACGTGTGTAAGTTG